CCTGGGGCAGGGCTGGCCTGGGGCAGAGCAGCCCAGGAGCTGAGCTGGCTGCAGCAGGGCACATTTCTGCAGAGGAGCAGGGCCAGGGTGCAGCTGTGCACCTTTGGCATTCTTGCATCCCTGTTTGGCACTGGCAGCCTGTAGGAGTGACCTCCCTGCAGTTTGGGGGCCTTGTGGCAGAGACAGGAGCTGCTACATAGGCAAGGTGATCCTTGCTTTTTCTTACTGGCATATATTTTATTTTAAATTTAACAGCTCTTCTTTTCCCAGTGTGTTAGAGGACTATTTTACACCTATCCAGTGTAACCTTGCTTGATGACATAGCAGTGATTCTTCAAAAGAATGGGGGGTTTTGATTCTCTTTTTGTTTATTTTTTTAAAAAACTTCAGGTCATGCCCACATTTGTTTCATGTCTTTATTTTTGTCTTAATAAATGATATATAAATGATCTCGAGAGATAATACATAAATAGGCAAGAATGTGTATCCACAGTTCCTTAGGGCTATCACATGTGCATCTACATATCAAATATATATTTCATCCACACACTGGAACACCCTGGAAAATCTCTTCACAAACAGTGCTGGGCAGCTCTTGCTGCAAGAGTTAAACATTTGAAGAGCAAGGTCCCATGCGTGGTTCTCATGGGCCTATTTTTAGTTTCTCGTAGGGGAAGAATGGCAAAAAATAGAGCAGGGCTGTGGCTTGGTGTTCAGTGCACAGAATGTTCATGGTTTTAGCTGACAGGAGTGTGAGTGCCCCAGGACTTGGGTGCTGCTGTCCTGTGCACTCCCTAGCAGCCCTCCCAGCACAGCTCCTGCAGCTGCAGCACCCACAGCACCCGTGTGAACTGGAAAGGATTTCCCGAGTGCTCTCCCCAGCCTTGACTGGGGATTGCTGACCTGAAAGATCTGTGTTTGTCCACTGAGAAATCATAAATCTCTGGGTTTGCCCCGGGTGCCCTGGTCCTCCCTCTGTCCCTTCCTTCAGGAGCTGTGGATGGCTGGGATGCACAGGGGCTGCTGCACCTATGCAGAGGATGCATTTATAGCCTGCAAGTGCCAGTGCTGCACCTTTGGGATGTGCATCATTGGGAACAAATGAAAATCCTTCAAAGCGTCGGGATATTCACTTCTCCAGTTCCTGCTTTCACTTTCTCCTTCTGGCCTGGATGATGTTTTAGGTGTTGTTTGGTACAGTGGGCTCAGGCTGCAATGCTGGTATTTCAAAAGTGCAGCTCTCCTCTGGCTGTGTGACTCCAAGACAAGGAGCTCTTTAAGCTGACTATATTTTGATGCATATTTTCAAATCATTACTTGAGAGGAATCAGGTAAGAGAAAGGAACATAGACATGTGATGTCTCTTCTCTTATAAAAACCCCCAAACTAAGACTAAAATATTTAAACTTTTAAAATTTTAGCAAAATAACTCTTGTAGCTATTAAACTTTCCATGGAAATACCTGCCTCATATTTTCCAAGTCACTTTCCATTGCAGCTGTTTCCTAACTAAATAAAATGTCCTGCCTCGTGAATGACCTGCTAGCATTTAAAAAAGAAAAAGGTGAGCATCTGATTGGGCAAGGCTTGTTTTGTTTGAAACCTTTAAAAGGAGGGGGCAATACTGAAGTAAAAAGCTTCCTATCCCCCGAGACAGACAGAAAGGAAAACAAAAGCCCCAGGTTCCCCAAAGTGGAGCAAGAATTGAAAATGTTTCAAGAGTGTCCCCTCCCTGTTCTGTTTGACACTTACAGAATACCTGCACTTCAGAAAAACCCTTGAAATAATGACTTGACTAGAAATGAACAATTAAAAGCTCTGGTCTTTGTTGTTCATCACTTACTGGGCAATTACATGGCAGCTTTGCATGAATTTGTTGGCATGGCTCTGAATTTGGTGTGCAAGACTGAACTGTTCAACACTCAGTTCCCTGGCCATAAAATGAGAAAATTATTCCAGTAGCAAAAAGGGCAAATTTTTACCTTGCCCTCATGTTTCCACCCATCTCTGTCATTCTCTGGTTATGTGAAAAGGAATGAGGAGGAAAGGCAAATATTTCCCTGCCTCCAGGACTGCAGACAGCTGAAGAGATGCTCTGGTCACTCCAGTCACTGCTCCAGATTCGGTCCTTTGCTTTTTTAGGTGTGACTGTAGTGGGAATATATCTCTTCTTTATAACAGCACACAGACTTGAAAAGCCATTTTCCTACAACTAGTGGACACTGATTAAAAAACCAAACCAGAAGCACTGCAGAGAGCCGGGTTAGGGTGATAAACTGTGAGGGTGGGGCAGCAGCTTTTCTTTTCAAAACTGACTTCATCAGGAAGCCAGCTCCGTTTGGGCTTGGATGAAAGCTGCATCCCCTGTGTGGCATGTCTTTCAATTTGCATTTTACAAAGGCACAGAATACTCCAGACAGGTCACAAAACCTGTGGCTGGCCTGTTAGAACTGCGGAGTTACTGCAAATGATGAGGCGTGGAACAAGAGTAGAGGGAATAAAGTCTTGGGGCAGTGTGGATTTAATTTCCCCTGTTGTCCCGAGTGTGAGAACAGCCCCTGGGAGCAGAGGAGCAGGAGGGCCAGCCAGGCTTTCAGGGATGGGCAGCCAGAGCTCCAGCCCTGCTGTCCCCTGCCCTCTCCTGCCCACCTCTCCTGGCTCCCCCAGCTCCAGGCTCTGCCTCCAGAGAGTGACCCCTGGCAGAGCTGTAAAACATTAAATCATCATCCAGCAGGCAGGAGCAGCCTCTCCTGAGCCTCAGCTGGCGAGGTGCAGACATGTGGCAGCAGGGATGGTTTTTGGAAGAAAGGCAGGGCTTGACAGAGAAGGCAGTCTCCCAATAAAGGTTTATACTGGCGCTTCCCTGTGTTTATAATACCCTGTGCCAGGGCCACGGCCTCTGTTTTCAGCATATTGTTGTTTAAATCTTTTTCTAAACCTAATCAGCCCTTAGGTTGAGGAGTCTGAAAAGCAGAAACTTGATATCAATATAAGTGTTTCCCTAGAGTTCTTTGACAGGAGTTTCACTGTTGTAACTGCCTGAGCTCAAATCTGCTCCATCTATAAAGTGAAGTAAGTTTGTCAGGACCAATTGTTCTTATTATGAAAAGGAAGTTTTATTTTTAAGAATATTTTCAAAATAGATTTTATCTTGCCCACTTTTTTGGTCGGTTGTTTTGGGTTTTTTTTTTCCTCATGTAGATATTCAGTCTTGTTTGCTTACTTGCTTTTTCGCTGTGTTAGTTTAGTATTACAGGATGGTATAAGCATGGTTGTTTGCAAGGAGGGTTGCTATTCGAGGGGTTTTTTTGTTTGTTTTTAAAACCTCTTTCCCTCTCAGCCTCACAATATCAGTAATAAGCTTTTCTTAGGTCTAGGCATCTGGTCTCTGGTTTAAGAGCTGCACAGTCATGCTGTTCCTCTATCAGTTATGTGATAACTGGTACTTTAAATAATCATCCTTGACCTTTTTGCAGTCTTTCAGGCTGATTGATTGTTTTTTACCATATTTGCAGTGGTAGCCAGAGGGGTTTTTGTTCAAGTGTAACTGCTGCATGAGGTTTTGTTTTCACAGGACTGTAGCCCTTAGGATTTCTTTCCCCGTGGGTATCTGGCCCCATGGTTCTAGAAGAAGCATAGAACCAGGGCAGAGCTACACTTCCTTCTGGCCCAGAGAATTTTCAGTCAAACTGAGTTCTGGCTGGAGGAAAGTTCTACCTTGAACTGATTCAATACCACCCGGTCCCCATGTGTTATGTCAAGTATAAGAATTACCCTCACATTGGGAAATTAATGTTTTAAAATGTAGCAAGGTATTTTTTCTGGCTTTTTTGCAGCTGCATTCAGTGACAAAGGAACTCTTTGGCTGCTGAAAGTTGAGGTGTTGGAGCTGTACTGACTGTGTCCTCTTAGGATAAAAAAAATTCTCCAGCAGTAGATAGGTACCCACTTTTTAGCAGTCAGGAGTTAGTTGGGTAATGCACTTTGTGAGGTAAAAACTGAAAAGAAATGGTTACAGCATAGGAGAGATGCTAATGAAATTTTTAAAAAAACCCCAAGAACTAAAAAAAGGTCTGGGTTCTTATTTTTCACTTTTTCTTGACTACTCAAGTTACAAATTAACCTTGTCTCATACCTCTTCCATATCTTGGATTTTTCTTCTGTTTTTGGCCAGAACCTGACAAAAATCATGCATTAACTCTGCCCTGGTTCAGCTAATCCCATGGGCCTCTTCTCTAAGTGAAGTTACTGCTTCCTGTTGTTCCCACAGGGACTTGGGAACAATTAGAGGAGATTGGTAAAGAAGATTGGAGCAGCTAAATTGGCCAATTCAGCAGTTCATTCATCAATTCATTCATCTCTTGCTTGTTTGCTAGATTTAGGGATGGATTTTGCATCCCCTTAAAGAAAACCCTAAAGCAGCCAAATAAAGAGACAGTGAGCCCTTGTGTGCTCACTGAGACGGAGGTGTATGAACGAAACAAAACGCTGAGCTCCATGTCCTGTCCTGCACAAGTGAAATTCCTCCCTGGTGTGGAATCCTGCACAAAAGCCCCCTCCACAGAGAGCAGAACAAAAGCAGCCCTCTGCTTGCCACCTTCCCAGCACATTTCTGGGTTGGGTTCCTTGTTTGTTACCTGGTGGTTGTACGAGCTTGCAGGAAATTCCTTCTCCTCCCTCTGCCTGCCCCTCAGTAGCAGGATTACAGTAAATGGTTGGCCTGGATTAGCTGTGGCTCAGACTCTGCCCTCTCTGTGTCTCTGAGACCCCCAGGCCCCCAGGCTGGCACTTTGGGGTGTGTGTGTGTCCCCTCTGCACCAGGACACGGTGCTGGGCAGGGCAGAGCTCGGCAGGGTCCCTGCTCTGCCCGGGGCTGGGCTCAGCGCACCTGAGGGCAGGAGCAGGGCCAGGGAGGCTCCAGGGCTGAGCGTGTCCTGCAGCACAGCCCTTGCAGGATGGTCTCCAGCTGGGGACCAGGCTCCCTGTCAGCTGCTCTGCATCCTCCCCTGACTCCTCCCTGCCCTTCTCCAGGGGTGCAGCTGCTGCAGCCTGGCCCTGCAATCCCTGGCCAGCCGGCGACTTCTGACAGTGTGGCCACTCACTGTGAGTCAGGAGCTGCCAGAAACATTCACAGCCCAGGGACCAGATCTGCAGGAAGGACTCTGGAAGCATTGCAGGAAAGGCAGCCTGAATATCTTGAGAAACTCTGTGAATGAGGTTTGACAGCAGCAGAAAAGCTCATTTCAGTCAGTAAACCCTTCACAACTTGAAACAATTGTGGTTAGGTTTTTCACTGGGTTTTGGGCTTTTTTTCCTTTCAGATTTTATTTTCACTCTGTAGTAAAACAAAACTGAAGTACTGTTGTCATAGACATTGAAATATTGAAAGAGGATGTTCTGATGCCTCATAAATATCTTTTCTCCCTTCAAGTACTTGTATCTAAACCAAAATCTTTAGCTGATTCAATTTGTGAAGCATTTGAGCTTTGAACAAATCCAGGTTTAATTCTTCCAGTCAAGTCAACTGGTTGTGTTATTTGCTTATATGCTGGTGCTCTTTGCATTCTGGGGACAAGGAATTAATCTGTACCTCTACAAGAAACTTCATATTAATCACAAATCAGTTTTTCAATAAATGACCAGAAGGCTATTTAATTGAAAAAAAAACCTAAAAAGTCTCATGTGTTAGGATATGAGGACATTAAATCTTCAGTATCCAAAGTGCTCTTCAAATAAAGACTTGGCATATATTTGTGCTGTAAGGCAGTAGGAATCTTTGTGCAGTTCTGTACTGTTGCAGTAGCAGATATTTAGGCAGTGGATAAGCTACTGGGTAAATTTTCACAGGCTTTCTGACCTTCCTGGTGCTGGCATTGCCTCGTCTTCTCAAGTAGAACTGAGATAATTTGGCCCTTGAGATAGAGAAGGAGAGATAAAGTTATTTTTAGCATTAGCTTGCTTTAGTTCTGGCATTTTGTTCTGTCCTGCCCATTCTCCTGAGTGGAAGGATGCAGCTTGTTTATTATGTTTTAACATATCTACTCTGCTGGCTTTTGATAGCAGGCAGAGCTGAGGTTTACCCTTCTGCAGCTTTCCCACCAGTGCTGGGGCAGCACATCCCAGATCAGCCAGGAATATTCAGTTTTCAGTCCTTGTATTCATTTTTTCTCCTCTTTGCAGACCTGATAATTAAAATCCTTCTTTTTCTCTTAGAGGAAATCCTTCCTTCCTTCCTTCCTTCCTTCCTTCCTTCCTTCCCCCTCTATTTTTTTTAAATAATTTTGAAGTTTTGTTTATTTTGCCCCTATGATTCAGATTCCAGGAAGTGACATTTCTAAGCAAACCTGAAATGCTGTAATGTTTACAGCAGCAGCAAACACCCAGCTGTGTCTCCTGTAAGTTACAGTAGGAGTATTTAGTGTTGTTGTCTTTAGACATTCCAGATGTTTTGAGCTTATCAGAAATCATCAGTGTGGGCACTTCCTGTAATTCCATACACTTTTTTCTCCATCCTCAGTGTTTAATATTGTGGAAAATGTTGGAAGCATTATGCATATGGAGTCTGGACACCATTTTTTAGTCCTTGGGCTGCAGAATGTGGCATTACCAGTAATCAGGGCCCTTTTCCCATCTTTGATCCTCCTCGATGTCCCACTCCAGACTGTCCTGAGAAGTCTCCACTGGGAATATTCACCTTTGTGTGGTGAGGACTCAGCACACAGCAGCTCCTTGATCCACCTGGAACTGCTGATTTTCTCTTGAAGCACTGCAGGTGTTTCACCATGAGCTGTCTGTCCCTGAAAACAAACGAAATTGAAATGAAAATGCTGCTTGTGCTGGGGGAGCAGGGAGGATGTGTGGGAAGAAAAGTGCAAGGTTAGGAAAACTATTGAGGTTACATACATTTTTATTTATGTTCTATATTTGGGCATGAGAAGGGAAGTTACTTTTTTGTCTCCTGTAGTTCTCCCGAGCCCATGAAGCATCCCAGCCTCTGTCAGCCTTGCCTGAAGTTGTTGGTGGCCCTGGTTCTCCTTCAGGGAGTCTCTGTCCTAATAAAGGACTCATTGAGAGGGCCCAGGGCACACAGGCTCTCAATGCTCAGAATGCCACTGCTCATCTCCTGGCAGCATGCTGGTGCAATATGGCTCTTTCTCCTGATCAAATGGTGAACTGCAATTGTCTATGATTTCTCTTTCTGGAAAAAAAAAATTGCATGGAAAAATTGAAAGTGGAAGAAAAGAAAATGGAGCTCTTGTCATGAACACTTTCATGTCAGAGATGCTTCACACACCTCTGTAAATCTGTTTTGTGGGAATCCTTTCTGTCCCTTCATCTCTTCCTGTCACTGTTCATCTCTGCATCCATGGGCACAGCTGGAGTGGACTCCATGTCCTGAAAGCTTGGGGAAGGTTCAGCCCAGGTTTGGGGCACAACTGTGAAGTTTTTCACTTTGCTCAAGTTCTCTAGTGAAGTCCTTCTAACTGAGGAAAGAGACTGCAAGGTGCCTAAGTTCACCCCAGATACAAGGGATAAATGTTACTTTTTTATCCTTTCAGCTTTTCTATCTTTCCTGATTCGCTTTCTAAAAATGTGCTTTCTTCAAAAGGAAGGTTGTTGGTACATGAAGCCTGTCCTCCTCCTGAAATTTAGAGGGCTGAACAGCTCGTTTTCACAAAGAGTGATAAGATCTCCTGGCAGCCAAAAATAAGAATAATTCTGTTCCCTGGTGTATGCCCTTGCCTCCCCCCAAAAAAGGAACTTGGACATAAATAGTTGATCAAAACAAAGCCTATGGTCTGATCCCATGAACTGAAGATATTTAGTTTCTATTCCCAGTTTTGCAGTACTGTGCTGGGTAAATGCCTCAATTCTCCATCTGTGAAATGGAGATATTTTTTTTCCCCTCCCCAGGAAGGTTCTGTCTGAGTTAACAAGTTTGTATGGTGGCCTGGAAATGCTTTACAAGTGGTTGCTACTAAGATTTCTCTGATTTGCAGCTGACAGATAACAGCAGGGAGGGACTCAAAGCCATCTTACAGAGACTCAGACTAAATGTGTTTAAGCTCCTGGAAGCAGGCTGGTTCCCAGGCACGGAGGAGGGAAAACAAAGGACAAGCTCCAGGCCAGGCAGAATTGATGGAAATGATGTGAGCACTGGGGGCTGGGGCTGAATGTGTGATCAGTGCACATCTGGAGAGCTCCTTTTCCATAGCCAGAAAAGCAGACCTGCACAGGCACAGCTCTGAGCAGAGTTCCCCCTCCTCCCCCCAGCCCTGCCTTTTTTCCCTGTTTGTTTTGATAGTTAGAAACATAAATACCTTCCCATGTGGACCCTCCTGGTTAGGGTAAAGTGACATATTTCTAGTAAAATAACACTTCTGCTGAGTCAAAATAGCATTCTTGCACAAACTGAACATAAGAAGATGAAAGAAAAAGTATTTGTGACACAGGAAAAAGGAACTTAAATTACTTTATCAGCAACAAAATGAAGGGACTGAAGACACTGTAATGAATTGAATAGAACGAAAGCTCTTATTTCTCAGGCAGTGCTGAACAGCTTGTCAATAAGAAGAGGAAACACTGCTTGTATTGCATTAAAGGTGTATTTCAGCAGCATGCAGAGCTAGATCATTCAAGGAATAAAATTCTGGGGGAAAAAAAGGACCAATGGCAGAGGGAAAAGTAGTTGCACAAATAAAAGAAAACAAATTTCAAAATTTTCTGGTTTGAATAGATGGATGTTTTTGACACACAACTTATCCTTTTTTTTTTCCACCACAGAAATGGTACTTAATTTTGTTGAAGACTGTTTCTGAAGGACAAGTTAGTCCAAATATATTTTCAATATGGGATATTCTTCCAGCAAAGAATATTTCAGCAGTTTTCACATGATTCAGTTTAAATCAAAACCAAAACTAGGGGCTTGAAACAGAGGGCCAGCTGCATGTCTCTCCTTTGAGGGCCTTTCCCCTCTGTGCTGCTTTGCCTTTCTCTTCTCACTCTGAAATGCCTCCTGGCACATCCATTTGCACCCTGCCCCCCTGGATATTGCACATTCTGTGCCTCCTTCACACCCAGGTGGACACTGTGCCTTTGGTGGGCTCTGCTTTTGCTGTAGCAGTGCTGGGGCACTCTGGAAATAGGATGGAAATAGGACTTGGGTGACCACATGGAATGAAATGTTGGCAGACACTGTTGCAGGAGAATGTATTTTATGATTTCCCTCCAAGAAAAGATGCGTGGTTTTATTTAAAATTAAAATCTGAGAAGCAAAGCTTATTAAGAGTCAGACTGGTCTGAAAGGCAGAATTTCAAATCATGGGAAAACCTGCAGCCATTGTGAAAAATCTGTCTTCTAGAAACCTCCACTGAAATCTCCTGTTTGGGAGGGTGAAGGTGCCTGACAATCGCCCTTGTGCAGCACAAACCCAGGATTCCTGCTCCCGGCTTGTGCCTGTTCATTCCCAGCAGCTCTGCAGTGCAGCTGGGAGGAGCACAGAGTGCTTTGGAGCAGCACATGGCTGGGATGACAAAACTGCTGCCTGAGGGGTCCCTGCTGGGCCCTGCCTGACCCACAGCATCCACATTTCAGGGCTGTGGCTGTGCTGTGCCCCTGCCTGAGAATGCACAGAGCGTGTTCAGAATCAT